GTACCAAAATGAATTATTGGAAGAGCATTATAAGTCACTCAAATCATAGCGCAGCCTAGTCGATCTAGCAATTGCCGTGCAGTGAAGAGAATCGTCAGATTTCTGTAATTAATAATTTGATAATTGTTGCGAATATCGTAAAACGATATTGGACTTTTTTCTTCATCTCAATCATATCTATCTTCATTAGCTGTGGCCACATGAGTTCTCATATATTCTGTATAGTGTATGATATGGTGTCATGTGTGTATGTATATATGCATATGAAGATTATATATAAATAATGAATGTTTATTTATAAATTCGTGTACATAATGTGTGTTCACAAAAGTAAGACGCAATTTGTTATTTTCATAATATTTCATGACTCCAAGCTTTTTAATATAATTGTATAAAAATCGGTTTGAAAAATAGAAACTTCAAGCTGTAAAATGCTCTCTGAATCATTTTATTATGATATATTTTATCATCTTTGTGCAGAAGTTACAATATCTTAAATTTTATCTGTTTAAGAACATAGGAACAATGATCCTTCAATTTTTTGATGTAATATATACAGATTGGAGAAATAATTTTAACATTGAGGTTATTAATATTTTCTAATTATATGGATTATTTATGCGTTAATATAAAACTATTATTGTGATTCATCCACTGCTTTGACAAAATCATTCTTTATATTTTAAACTAGTGCTGAGGGATAAATGCCTATTTTGGCCAGATTACGGAGACGACGCCTACTTTCCTCCTACTACTGCTCTCGGCTTGACGGCCAAGCCATTTATTGCACAAAACAACTTTATTTTCAGGAGTGTTCGCATATGAAAAATGTGCTGGGATCGTACTTTCAGCTAAACCGTCATTAGAATGGAATCATGTTTTATTTTTATCAATTTTTAGTGAAATAAATAGAATTTTTTGAAGTTGTTTCCCTACTAGGGAAACAACTTCAAAAAAAATACGCATCAACAAATATAATATCTTACAAGTGATGTAGAAATCTATTGTCCAAATTCTAATGATGATATGGCGGAAAGTGCGATTCCAACATATTTTTCATAGCGAATTGCTCTTGAAAACAAAGCTATCGCGTGCGATCGGCGGTTCGGCCATCAAGCCGGGAGCATCAGTAGGGGGAAAGTAAGCATCATCTCCGAAATCTGGCCGAAATAAGCACTTATTTGCCAGCACTGTTTTAAACAGTCAATAAGTAAATATATCATTATTAAAAAATCTATTACCATTAAGAAATTCTCTAAAATATGTTCTAAATGTTAAAGCTATTATATCGATCCTTGTACTTGGAAAAAATCACATCTTTCATTGAACTTCTATTGCTGATATTTTTTTGTTAATAAATATAAAACCTTTAGAAGATTACTCAGAATAATAATCTTGATAATATATATGAAAATCAAGGTCACCGACAGAGACTTTAATATACAGGATGAGTAAAAAGTATGGAAACCCTTAAAAATTTCGAAAGATAGTTTTACAGAATAGTGTTTCAGACAAAAGTTACAAGTTCAAAACAATGTATTCACTGATCGTATCAATTTGATCTTGAGTGGCGTTGCCAAAATTCTTCCAACGGTGGGATCAATATCTCTAGCATGGTTCATCTGGAAAAAAAACCAAACATTTTCTTAATCTGCATAAATGTAGTTTTCGTTTAGTAGTATAATAATTAATAATTAAGCGTTGTCATTTTTTTTATTTTGAAAGTTACTATTTTTTAAGCCCCCTTGAATGAAATAAAAATGTTGGAAAAATCGAAGTTCTTTTTTAACATACCGCTATTTTGAGAAAAATTAATTAAAAAAAATGGCTACTGGTAAAAAAACTCCGTAAAAAAACGGCTAGACTTAACGAAAACTACATTTATGTAGATTAAGAAAATATCTGATTTTTTTTTAGATGAACTATATCAGAGATATCAATCCCACTGTTGGAAGAATTTTTTACGAACCGCCACTCTGTTGTATAGATCTTTGTTAATTTTTATTATTTTTTAATAAAAATTTGTATAGAACTACTTCAAAGTACCATTAATAATATACTCTTCCCCCAATCCTTAAATAATTCATTAAGTAATAAAAAGAAATTCGTGAAAATGGCCTTTTTTGGGCCCGTCACAGTGATGTTCCCTTAAAGAAAACTCGATAATTTTTTCAATATTTAACTTACGATATCTCGCTAACTATTTGTCAGAAGAAAAAATAGTACTAGACTTTTATGACTTTATTTTGTTTTAAAAATATATTGTTATAATAATGCCCTCCTCTAGTTAACTTATCGACCTTGGGAAATTTCAAAATCATTAAATCAATAAAAGTCAAAGTGCTATGGTAACAATATTATTGAGACCAAAATAAAAGATCTAGTACCATTTTTTCTCCTTACAAATAGCGAAATATCGCAAGTTATATATTGAAAAAGTCATCAAGTTTTCCTTAAATATCTCAACATATTAAGCAAATAAAAACATGTTTCAGACGAAAGTTATTCAAAGTAATTGGTAGAAAAAGATGATATAATAAAAAATGGGGGTTTCTATTTAAAAGAAATAAGTTAACTTTGACCTGACCTTGGCAACGCCACTCAAGGTCAAACTGATAAAATCAGTAAATACATCGTTTTGAGTTTTATAACTTTTGTCTGAAACACTTTTCTGTAAAATTTATATCTTTCGAGATTTTCCATACTTTTCACTCACCCTGTATAAAGCGTGATGTTAAAGATGTAATAGCATAAGCTATTATTTCTAAAATTAAGCGGAATATGAACTTTTGGTTCTTGTCAACTATTTTTATCGAAGGTAATATGATGAAGTTAGTTTTTTCTATTATAGATGGTACCGTTAAAGTCATTTTGAAAACATCTTGATTTCTTAATTCTTATTACATACAATTACAGTCCGTCTTTTGACAAATAGACTTTTTTATCACGGTGGGGAAATCCTCATGGATACCTCCGCCCCTTGGGGGGAGCGGGGGTTATGCCGGACTCTTACCGGCTAAAACCCCACTGGAGTGTCTGCCACGTGGGCTAGAGTGAGGGGAGTCGGGGGAACAGCGTCAATATTCTCTCTCTCAGGGAGCCCCTCGCCCAAGTACCGCGCACCACCCCTCAGGAGTGGGACGCGACGCCCCGACCGGTTGCCCGGTTGGGTTGGCCTCCTAATCCTAACTGGAGAGAGGGAACACCCACCCTCTCTCCTAGCCCCCCTCGTTGATCGAGGGGGGCGGGGGAGTGGGGCCCGTCCCCAAACGGCCGTCCACTCCCCCTTTTCCTCCCGTACCGTCGCGCAGGGGGAGACAGGCTTTAAGCCTGCCGTCCCCCCTGCGCGGACGGAGGCGCACCCAAGGCAGTCGAGGAGGCCTCCGACGAATCAGAGGCGGCTCCTCGACCGGCGCCACCTCGGGCCCGCTGTCGAGGCCGGGGGGGCGTTGCCTTCTCCATCGCTCCCTGCGACGGATGCCAGGGCAGCGCCCCCATTCGGCGGCCTCCTTGCGGGATATTACGTCCCGCGCAAAGGAAGCCGGCGCCGACCAGACCTCTTCGCTCCCACACATGGTCTGGACCATGTGCGGGAGCTAGAGGTCCTCTCCGGCACATTCCACTGCCCGGGCGAAGACACGGCGCTGCTGGCCCCACGCTTCGCATGAGACCAGCGTATGATGCGCCGTGTCCTCCAGCACTGGGCAGTGGCGGCACCGAGTGGTGGGCTCCTTTTGTATCTGGTGCAGGTACCGATCAAAATATTCGTGGCACCAGATGGAACGATAGTCCACGTCCCCTCTTGTCTGTTTGACAAATAGACTAACCACATATAGTTATAAGAAAAACAAAATAAAATAAATATTCGAAACTAGTGCTATTCAAGATTATTCATAAGATCACTTATGTCAACAAATAAAGTGTCAGATACGTTACTCATAATAATATAAGTTATATAAGTTTACTTTCACATCAGTTTATATCAAGAGACGCGATAGTACTTTGCGCAACGAAGTGCGCTCGAATGGCGCAAGGTAGACCGTCTATATTTAGGCGAAACTACAAGTTGAAACGAAGTGAGATATTCATATCTCAGCAATGGCTGAACCGATCGAAGTTTTTTAGTCCTAATTGGCCCTAAAAAAATAGGAAGAAAAGTATTCTTGTGTTTTTTTCGTGTACGTTGTCTCTAAATGGAGATATTTTAAGATAAAGTCCGGATGACGGAAAATTTCGATTTAGTAAGTAAAAAACGCTAGACGCAGAGGAGTAGGGATATGTGCATTTCGCTTTTCTGACACCAAAGGCGTTACGAGCGCGCTGAAGAAACAGATAATAGCCAGTGCGAGTGAGCAAACGAAAGGTAGAGAGGGAGGGAGGGGGAGAGAGAGAGAGAGAGAGAGGGAGAGGGAGAGGGAGAGGCAGTGGGAGAGGGAGAGGCAGAGGGAGAGGGAGAGGGAGAGAGGGAGAGAGAGAGAGAGAGAGAGAGAGAGAGAGAGAGCGAGAGAGAGAGAGAGAGAGAGAGAGAGAGAGAATGAATGAATGAATGAATGAATGAATGAATGATCTTTATTAGCTTTCTCAGCTATTTATTTTACATCAAGTTTCTTACACTATGGGTATATTAGTTATAATATATTCCTTTAACCTACGCCTAAATGTTACTGTTCTATTACATTGTTTAATTCTAATGGTACAGTATTATACATTCTAACCTCATACCATAGGCTCTTTTACGCATTTTTTCTTTTCCGAAATTGTATCACAATATTTTGAGATTGCCTCGTTTCTCTCCTACTTACATCTCCTACTACCGTTATTCTATTTCCTAGCTGCTCGGGTAACATACCATTTATTATCTTATAAATAAAAATGCATACGTTATAATACAGTCTTTGTCTTTTAGACATAAACTGCAAAGCCTGCAACATTCTTTCCATGTTAGTATGTTTGCCGCATTGCAATATGACCCTCATGGCCCGGTTTTGTGCTATTTGCAGTTTGATCAACTGAATCTCATCCATACCAGCCAACAGCGTTGCATAATATTCAAACCTCTTTGAAGCTGGCAGGACCAAATTGGCAGAATCGAAACGCACTATCAAATTTTTTAGTACTTATTTTGTGCTAATTTGTGCTATTAATAAAAATTGTGTACCTCGTGCCATTTTGAAAAAAATCGTGGCGCTGTTACCTTTATATGAAGTCAGCAGGACCACAGCAAAAAATAATTGAAAAATAAAACCAAGTACATAAATAGAAAGAGCATAATTTGTGCTAATTTGTTCCATAAAAGAAAATTTGATATTTTCTGATTTTGATAAATCTGTAAAGTGCCACTTGTGTGAGTAGAATCGAATCGCGACTTTTGCAATAGATACCGCTTATTTGCTGCTACTAAAATATGTAATTGCAGATTTTGTACCCGCGGCATTTCTTCAGAAACCATCACAGACCCAGCTTACGTTCAAGAATAAAGTGCCACTTGTAATGAGCAGAATCGAGTCGCGACTTTTGCAATAAATACCACTTATTTTGTGCTACTGAAATGTGTAATTGCAGATTTTGTACTTGCGGCATTTCTACAAAAACCATCACAGACCCAGTTTACGCTCAAGAATAAAGTGCCACTGTTTTTCAAAATATCAAATTTTCTTTTATGAAACAAAAGTAGTGCAAAGGGTGGTGCTATGATAGATTTATATACAATGCACCTAGTGTAACCTGATATTTCTCTTCCAATTCTGTTTAAAAAAACTTTTTTTTCCTATTTTCTTTAACATGTATATACAGGGTCATCGAAAAGTATCGGACCTCCCTAATATCTTCAGTTAGAATGCATTTTGGTGAAAATGTCCAACAGCAAAGTTGTATGGTTTCAAGCGAGGAGTAAGATGATGACCTTGACTTGGACCTTGACCATGTCCTTCAAGATCATTTCAAGGTCAACCTTATTTTTTTAAATAGAACCCCCAACATTTTATTGCATATTCTTATAGCTTATCTCGAGAGCTTTCCAAAACACTATAATAAAATATTTTTTTGTTAAGTACTTTTTGAGTTATAAAGGTTTGAAGTTAACAATTTTTTGACACAAAATGTAAAATATCTTGTAAAATATTATTTAGTTTTCAGTAATCACAACCTTAATACTTTTGTGCGCGAAATAATGAAACCAATTAATTGGTTTAAAGAAAATACATTAATCGAAAAGTATCTGCTCTCCCTAATATTTTCAGTAAGAATGCGTTTTGGAAAAATGTCAAATAGCAAAGTTGTACGGCTTCAAGCGACTATGCTAGTAGGCTATGGCAGAAAACTGCCCGAAGGTGATCGCGAGAAGCTGCTCGAATGCGTGATGTCCGAAGGCGTTAGTGGGAATCTGCCCGAAAGCGTTGGCGGGGCCGATCTTTATTGTCTCACTCTCGCAGGCACCAATAGTAATACAAGCTCTTGAGCAAACAATGCGGGTCACTGATTTGAATCTTTGATGCAGTGCTGTCTTCTTCTTAGCGAGCAGCAGTCACCTCGTGGACGAAAACGAACAGCCCCAAAAATTGTTTCTGTAACAAAAGAAGCCATTACGCTTCAATTGATTGTCTCAAACATCTTTATTTTGTTTTCAATAGTCCAGAATTTTTTCGTAAATATTATTAATTGATCTATTAGATTTTCAGTTGCTCAACGAGCTTTTTGCTAGTGCTGGTTGAAATAAACAAATCGATAGTTGTACCAACACTTAATAATTAGTATTTTTCTCTACTTAATTATTTAGATCAATTTCCTACCACTTACCTGATTAATTCTTCTTTGCTCTAATTAAGAATGGCGGAGCTTTCTGAAAGAGATCGAATAACACTGTTAATGATGCGAGGATGGGGAGATCAACAAAGAGGATATAAAACAGTAACGCGATTATTTAATGAAAATTTTCGGAATGAAAATAATAGGATCTCCAAAAGTACTGTAATCCATACTATTCAACGTTTCGAGGACATTGGTAGCGTTAAAAGCCGCCCAAGATCTGGTAGACGTAAAACAGCAACAAGTAATGATAAGGCATTAGATGTTTTACAGTCTTTCGTTGAAAGTCCCCACATTTCTATCAATCGCGTTGCACAAGAACACGAAATCGGTCATGCATCTGTCAGTAAAATTCTGAAATTGAATAAATGGCATCCATACAAACTCCATTTGGTCCAAAAGTTGTCCGAAGACGATTTTGATAGACGCATCGAATTTTGTGATCTTATGATGGAGATGATTGTCGACGATCCTCTATTACTTAATAATATTGTTTTCTCTGATGAGGCAACATTTGAACTGACTGGAAATGTAAATAGACACAATTGTAGATACTGGAGTGACGTTAATCCTTACTGGAAAAGAGACAATCATACCCAATATCCACAAAAAGTTAACGTACGGCCTGGTATTCTTAATGGTAGACCAATTGGCCCTTTCTTCATTGAAGGCAATTTGACAGCACAAGTATACACAGTCATGCTTCGCGAACAAATTGTTCCAGCTATTCGAGACATAACTGGTGGAAATATGGATGAAATTTATTTCCAACAGGATGGAGTTCCACCTCATTATGGTGTCATTGTCTGTCAATATTTGAATGAGGTCTTTCAGGACAGGTGGATAGGGCGAAGGTGTCATATTGAGTGGCCACCTCGGTCTCCGGACTTGACCCCACTTGACTTTTTTTGTGGAGTTACTTGAAAAGTAAAGTTTATGCCACCAAGCCTTAAGATTTAGATGATTTCTTGATGATTTAGATGATTAAGAGGGAGAATAACTCGAGAGATAGAACTAATACCACCGGAAACATTCCGGAATGCGGTTTCAGCTGTTTATAACAGATTGGCACATTGCCAGGCTGTTGAAGAGCAACAATTTGAACATTTGTTGTGAATTGTCTGGTACAATTGAATATTTTGCCCAAGCTGACCAATTGGAATGAAATTCTTTTCCTGGTCAAACCTTACCTGGAACCTGGAAAAACCTTAACTGATCGGGATCACACACCACTCGTGCCTTAACTGGTCGGAATTACACACCACTCTTGCCTTAACTGGCCGGAATTACACATCACTTAACAAATTGTTAACTTCAAACCTTTATAACTTAGAAAGTACTTAATGAAAAAATATTTTATTATAGTGTTTTGGAAAACTCTCGAGATAGGCTATAAGAATATGCAATAAAATGTTGGGGTTCCATTTAAAAAAATAAGGTTGACCTCGAAATGACCTTGAAGGACATGGTCAAGGTTAAAGTCAAGGTCATCATCTTACTCCCCGCTTGAAACCATACAACTTTACTATTGGACATTTTCTCTATAATGCATTCTAACTGAAGATGTTACGGGGGTCCGATACTTTTCGATGACCCTGTATAATCACAATGATCTTCAAATTTTAGTTTACTATCAATAATTACTTCTAGATACTTAATTTTTTCTACTTGTTCTATAACGGTACCATCTAAACATTTTAATATAATATTTCTTTTTAATTCTTTTCTTACACTTTTAATCATCATATACCTTGTCTTATTGGCGTTCATTTTTAGTTTATTTACATACATCTACTTTTCTACTGTAGGTAATACTCTGTTAAGTTCCTTCTCCACCTCTTCACTACTTTCTTCTTTTACATACATTAGTGTATCATCCACGAACATTTTAATGTTACACCCCTCTGGACAAATTTTGACAATGTCAGTTATGTATATCGTAAACAACAAGAGTCCCAGCACTGAACCTTGCGGAACTCCGTATTCTGTCATAATTTGTTCTGACCATTGATTATTGAATCTAACTTGTTGCGTTCTATTGTTTAAGTATGATCTTAACCATTCCAGTATCATCCCCCTTACTTCATATTGATATATTTTCCAATAATCTTCCCCTATCTACTATCTCAAACGCATGCTTTAGGTCAAGGAATATTACTCCTTCAATTCCTCCCTCACTAACTATTAATTTCCAAGCGTCAATGATAGTTTGAATTGCTATTTCACATGAATGTTGTTTTCTAAAGCCTGCCTGATGTTCTGTTAAAACGTCATTACCTTGTAAATATATTTCCATTTGTTCTTTTATTATTAGTTCTAACATTTTCTCGTATGTCGGTAATATATTATTAGGAGCGCAAAAAAGTTCTGAGCCCTAGATTTCATACTACTGAAACCACAATTTAAATTGCATTAATTTTCCCGCCCTTTTGCGGTTTTAAAGCAGTGACATTTGGTCTTTCGAAACATCGTGCGGTATGGCGTTTGATGCACATAACCTTAAAATCAGCAGTGTTCACGATGGCAATAACAAAAGAGCATATTCGATTTTCCATCCACTTCGCGTTTCATCTGAAGAAAAATGCTGCTGAAGCCACTGAAATGATCTGTGTTGCATATGGAGAGAACGCTGTAAGTTATGCTACGTGTAAAAGGTATCAAAAATTTTGCCAAGGAGATTTCAGTCTTGAAGATGAACCGCATGCTGGACGCCCTCAAAAGATTGAAACGGACGAACTGCAAGCATTGTTGGATATAAACTCTGCACAAACTGAACTTGGCGTTATCTGGGGAGGCGTTATCCCCAGATAACGCAGAGCAACTTGGCGTTACGCGACAAGCCATTTCCACACGTTTACATGCAATGGGAAAAGTTCAAAAGGAAGGCAGATGGGTTCCGCATGCACTGTCCGAAGACAACAAAAATCGACGGCGTGATACGGCACTCACTTTGCTTTCAAGGTTCTGGAAAAAGGATTTTCTGCACCAAATCATTACAGGTGATGAAAAGTGGATACTTTATGATAATCCGAAGCGTAAAAAATCATGGGTTGACCCTGGTCAACCTTCGACATCGACGCCAAAGACCAATATCCACGCCAAGAAGGTTTTGCTTTGCATATGGTGGGATTGGAAAGGTGTATTGTATTACGAGTTGTTACAGCCGGGTGAAACAGTAACGGCAGATCGCTATCAGCAACAATTGAGCAATATGAGCGATGCGTTTGAAGAAAAGAGGCCATTTACTGGCAAAGGACGTCGTAAAGTGATACTGCTTCATGACAATGCCCGACCACATGTTGCGAAAGTGACTCAGGACCATATCTTTGCGTTAGGCTGGGAACTTCTCCCGCACGCGGCGTATAGCCCAGACATGGCGCCTTCCGATTACTACCTATTCCGGTCTTTGCAGCATTTCTTGGCTGATACACATTTTGTGACACTTGAAGAGATACGAAACTGCATTGATGACTTTATCGCCTCGAAGCCGGTGAGCTTCTACCATCAGGGAATTCGCAAGCTGCCCGAAAGATGGCAAAAGATCATCGATGCAAACGGGGAATATTTCGTTGTTTAATATAGTTTTGTTTGTTTTTAAATAAATTTTGAATTTTGCAAAAAAAGGCTCAGAACTTTTTTGCGCTCCTAATAGTTGGTCTGTACTCACTTGCTTTCGTTAGTTTATTTTCTTCTTATTTGGTTCTTAGGAATCGATATTATTGTGGATGTTTTCCATCCTTCCGGACATTTGTCATTTATTAATGAATCATTCACTAATCTTACCAGTTCTTCCTTTATAACATGTAAACTTGCTTTTAATACATCACTAGTTATTCTTTCTTCCGTTCCTTTTTTATGTGGCAAACCCTGAACAATTCTATATAATTTCAGTGCATCAATCAATTCAAAATTTTCTATAATTCCCTTTTCTTCTATAACATAGTTACTTTTCTG